TGTTTATGAGTCATATTATTGGATATGGAATGAGTATTTATTTTTATCTGTTGATAATGCTTATTCGTCACACAACTTCCTTTTAGGATAGTGATAGGCGCTTAACATACTCCATCTATCATATTCGCTTTGAAGACAATTAGACAAAACATGCTCCTTGTGCCACTAGATTCTCAACCCTTGAATCACGCGTTCCTATTTCAATCTATATAGAATGGGTTTGAAGACTATGATTCCATAGAACCCTATTGTTGCATACCGAATCTTCAAGTCGCTTAAAAAGAAAACTAATAGCTTATCGCTTAACCCTTCTTCGCTATGGGCACGTGATCCGCCCGCTGCGTTTGTAGACACGTGCCCAGTCCGGCACATGTGTCACCAGCAGCAATCGTGCATATACATAGCTAACGTACAGCTACCCACGCGGCGCGGACTGCGGCGACATCGGATCCGATCACTGGTGGCGAATGTGCACAACCACACGACTCGTGCAGAACCGAAACTATCAAAACAACACGTAATCCAGTTTTCACGCTGATTGTAGCAGTGGCGTGATATGCGGTTGTTTTTGCGGTGTATACGACTTCAATGTCATTACTAATTAGTTTACATGTTATAAAAGCTATAAACACTTAGATGAAACAGAGATTGGTCCCACTAGAGGGAGCGACGACCTCAAATGTGTCGCGGCTGCTGCGAGCGATCGATGGATGTAAAGCGTCTAAGATGGTTTTCGATTTCCAAAGAGATGTTTATCTTTGAATATCGTAATTCCGACTTCTAACTAGAGGCAAAATAACATTTTTTTTACCATATTAATGTAAAAAATAAATAACGACAAAATTATAACAATACTATAGGACAAAATAAAATTGTCAGTTATTCGAATTACTAGGATTAATTTTTGTTTTTATTTTTGAGTTAGTTTGGCATTATTATATTGACATATGTAGTGTTATGTAGGTATTAAAAATACAAATATGGATTTTCCATCCTGCTCACGATCATAACCAGAATGCTGTTGATTCTCCCCCGGTATTGAAATACAATGTCTTTGAATCTTTCTTGTTTTATTTTAGTACAGGATCTCGCTTGATATTTCCATGCTTTCTCTCTAATATTCTTCTTCTCTCATTTAATCTATTTCTTATGTTTGTATTAGAATCTTTTTATATGAAATTCTCAAACTATATACTATTAGATTATTTGTGTTTTATCCTCCATGTTCTTACATCTCTTTGTGAATGCTAACAACTACACTCAGGTTGTGGAATGAGCTCCCTGCAGAGGTTTTCCCAAGAGACTACAGCATGGGGTTCTTTAAAAGGGGTGTAAAGAGGTTTCTTCAGGGTCGGCAACGCGCGCGTAATACCTCTGGTATTGCAGGTGTTCATAGGCTACGATAATCACTTACCTTCAGGTGGGCCGTATGCTTGTTTGCCACATCAGTGCTATAAAAAAAAACTAGACTTTGATAAAGAATTGACTCCATTACGCACGTACTCGAAGTAATTGTGTTTCTTGATTATCATTATATTGACCGTTAACTGTCCACTGCTGAACGTAGGGGTCTTCCTTACGAGGTTTTGCCAGTAGTTGCCACGCTTACACTTTGGTGAAGTTTTAAGTGGGACGCTGCTGCCCAAATTTGTGTTTGATACTTGTTTATTATTTATTTACTTTTTTTTATACAACTTAGAATGGCAAACAAGCTGAGGGTCCACCTAATGGAAAGTGGTAACCGTCGCCTATAGACATGAGCAGTACCATGGACATAACAGAGTATACTGTTTCGCCCATGATACCCCCCATGCGTTGCCATTCCTGAGGACTCAAGTGTATTATAACCTAGCATTACTTAGACTGTGTTCATGTAAGTGCTGTCTTTCATTCCTTTATTAAAAGAAATAGTGTACTGTTATCGACTTGGTCGATATTTTTTGTCTAACTACGTACAATCACCTAATCCGCTTCATAAAAATGAACGTATTCTAATCAATTTAAACGACCACTGATTACGTAAAGACTAGGAATTAGTATTATATTACGCTTACGTTCGACCATAACTTTGAAGTTGATAAAGTTTAAAGTTCTTCAAAAGGGGGTTAAAGAGGTTTCTTCAGGGTCGGCAACGCACGCGTAATACCTCTGGTATTGCAGATGTTCATAGGCTAAGGTAACCACTTACCATCAGGTGGGCCGTATGCTTGTTTGCCACCTCAGTGGTATTAAAAAAAAACACAAATAATTTGCAAATCTTGTTCAAAAGATGTTGATAATCTTTTGAACGAGATTGTCTATGGGTGGGACTATACTTTACAATTGGTCTTTACTCAATACCACCCGTAGGTTTATGGAATGGTAGCGTTCGATAAACAATACCACCAAAAACAGGAAACTGAAAGGTATTGATGATGCATCAAACAAGCGTATTATTATTGAAAACGTTCTCGTGTTTCAATAACTATATCACGTGTGACATGTGATGGGTGATCAAACACGCATTGTGGATACATTTAACAATATGTATATACACATGTACAAGTAATACATGTATATTAAATTATATATTTATTTAACTTTATTGACCAATAAAATGTGGTACAATACAATACAAAGTGATTGGGGGGAAAGGGATTGTTAGCAATGGAGACTTAGAATCCCATTCTTATTCTTATTCATTGCTAGCAATATACCCAACCAGGTCGACCTCCTCGCGGTTCTCCCTGGAAACTATCATGGTTAATTCCTGATGAATTCATCATGATGGGCTAACCGGCCTGTTTTCATTCTCATCTATCACCCTTCACTGGTACTCCGCCAGCGTATCACGTTGGCGCAAGCGGGGTTACCATACCATTTTCACCCATAAAAAAAATACAAAGTGATTAATTAAGCCGTTAAAATGCTAAGAGGTAACAAATTCACTCACATTTTAACATCATCGTTATATCAGCCTTTAACTGTTCACTGCTAAAAATAAGTTTTAAGGGGTCTTGCCAGTAGTTGCCACGCTTGGCAGGCGGATTGGCAACCGCAGTCAGGCTTTAGACATGTTTAGGAGGGACGCTGCTGCCCATCCCTCGCCCTCCCTTAGTCGGCTCCTATGATACCTACGGGAAAGGAAGAAGTGGCCTATTCTATGCTAGGATCACACGGCCATTTACCACATTTTAACATAAAATATTAAATTTTAGTAAACATATATATTTAATATCAGTAAGGATGTGTGAGACACAGAGGTGATCAAAAATTTGTCAAAATGGTACCCCTCAGTTTTATATCGCAATCGAGAAGCTAAAATTATAAAGTATTAGAGTAGTTAAACTGATTTGAAAGCATACGTACGTCGCTAGAATGATGGGCGTCGGCGGCGACAAGCAGCCGCGCCCGAATCCGGTCGACGAACACGTTTCCATCATATATGTCCAGCGACATTCCACTGTTGGAATTACTAAGAAGTGACAGACAAAAACGCAACTGTTGTGATACCCGCCTTCTCGATCTGAGAACTTGAGAAGCGAATGAGGCAACACGGGACGCAGCTATCTGCGGTATCTTTTATATACAAGTATTACTAGCGACCCATCGCGGCTTCGCACGGGTGGACATTTTTACAACATTTTAAAAAGTGGTTATTGTGACATAACGATAATAGTTGGACATATAGTAACGCGAAGTTTTATTGTAGTTACTGATATTTACTTCAATATTGTAGAACATACTTTTGTTCTATCACCAATAGTTTTCGCAGCGCACGCGACCAAAGATATTTTAAAGAATTTTTTTACATCTTGAGTTACGTTACTAAAGTTTTAGTAAGTATCCCTAATCTTTTCTATCAATAAATATAGCGTATGCTATTCAGGGTGAATGTAGCTTTCTAATGCTGTAAGAATTTTTGAAAACGGCAAAGTAGTTTTTATTTTATTTATTACAAACATACATACACACAAAAATAAAAAAAAAATCCTCTTTATAATATTAGTGTAGATATTCAAATAGGTGTTTGTATTCCATGATGTAAATGTTTTTTTTTTTCCTATAAGAACTTTCTAACTTGACACTAATGAGAAAGACAATTAACATGTTTGACCCTTCATCGTTGACCGTACAATTGGTGCAACATTATGACATATTTAAACATCTCGTACGTATGAGTCGTATTCCTAATTGTTAGCGTTTTGCTAGGTTGATTGACTGTTAGCAATCATACAATGTTTTACAACAGAAATTATCTTTATTTGCCTGTTAACAAGCTATATTAAATCGTCGTGGAATGTTGTTGTGTCGATAACTCTGTAATTTAGTATGCATAACTTGTTCTTGGAACGTTTGGACGCCTCTACCAAAGGTTAAACCTAGTAAATGACCCATATAAACCTAGTAGTAGTTTTAAGACTCCATTAAACTTGTTGTCGTCGATCGACGCCCATCAACGCAGCCCCGGCTAATGTTTTGACAGAGAGCTATCTAAAGCAGCATATTTTTTTTTAATAGATGGTAATGGAATGGTAGCTCCGCGTTTACGGTATAGGCTGGCTGGGCACCAGAGAGGGATGATAGGTGAGAACGTAACAGCAGGTCAGTTGGCCCATCGTGATGAATAAACCTGAAATTCAGCACGATGGTTTCCAAGGGGAACCACGTGAGCAGTATATTTTAACATACCGATTTAAAAGTTTTTATATTAGGTACTTTTTTTAAAATGGATTATAATGGAATGGTAACCCCGCCTGCGCTAACGGTATACGCTGGCGAGGCACCAGTGAGGGATGATAGGTGGCAATGAAAAGGCAGGTCGGTTAACCTATCGTGACGAACTCACTTGGAATAGAACACGATAGTTTCCAGGCGGAACCGCGAGGAGGTCGATTTGACAGTGTATATTGCTAACAATGGGGCTACTAATCCCTATTTTTAAGAATCCATTATCCCGCCCTGTATTATGTACTTGCAATGTATTATGAATTTAATATATGTATCGTGACGCGTTGCAGGCTGGCGAGCCGGGCGTGGTGGTGCTGGACCCGGCGGCACTGGCGCGCTCCGATTCGTCCGACGAAGGGGAGGAGGAGGAATGCGGGCCGCCGTCACCGTGCGGCGTGCGCTTCGTCAACGACAACGTGCTCATCAACGGCCGCTCCTCCATGCACCACAAACACAACCGGGAGCGCATCGGCAAGGTAACGCGCATCGCACACCGCACACATACCTTCGAATGCTTAACGGGTAACGCTCTGCAGTACGGCAGAGATCGGACTGTCTCTGTTTGTTTTTATACAACACAGGGGGCAAACCAGTATGATACGGCTCACCTGATGGTAAGTGACTACCGCCGCCCATGATCACACCCACAACACCGCATTGCAGGTGTGCTGCCGGCCTTTTAAAAAGGAATATGCTCTTTTCATGAAGGTTATTATTTATTATACAACAAACAACGGCAAATAAAGTAACGGACCACCTGATATAAAGTGGTAACTATCGCCTATAGACATGTACGTGTCGAGGAAATCACAGTATAATTTGTTACACCCTCGGTAACTTCGATACTGCGCACGCATTGTCTACCTCGAAGAATCTTTTAAACAACCTCTGAGGTTTTCCGAAATTTCGGAGCCATACGAAACACAAATTTGATGTTAAAATTACATAATACTTTGCCGTTTGGAAATATTAAAATGTTGAAATATTGTTCCTTTGTAATTTTTTGATAGGATGTATGACGAACGAAATGTTAAACTCCATTTATTGGTCCGATTTTGGTATAAATAAAAACACGAAATTGAGTCCGAAATTTCGAAATTTCATTTCGTGGTAGACCCGCAGATGTAGTGTACTAGGGAAACCTCGATTGTGTTTGTTCAACGACCGTTTTGTATGTAACATGAAATGACAAGGTGACAGTTTATGGTAGACAGTCCGCCTGATGGGAAGTGCTAACCGTCGCTTAGAGACATGAAAAACAACATAGACGTCACAGAATGAACTCTGACACTTATAGTGCGGCTCATGTGAATTATATAGCATTACGCCTCGGTGCTCTGCAATTTAACTGCTATATTCCTTTCTTTCCTTTCCTTTACAGTCACTTTTTTTTATTATACCGGCCATCAACTGCTCTCTGCTAAACATAGACTACCCCCCATAAAGGGGGTTTTGCTAGTAGTTGACGCGCTTGTCAGGCGTCCGTAGGCTACAGTGACCGTTTACCATCAGACGGGCTGTATGCTTGTTTGCCACCATTGTTGTATAAAAAACAACCTTTTTTTATATACCTTTTTTTTAGCAACCGCAGTTAGACTTTAGTGATGTTTTACAAGGGACGCTGCTGCCCATCCCGCGGCCGTTAGGTTCCCTTAGTCGCCTCTTACGACACTTACAGGAAGTGGTAGTCCATTCTATGCCGGGATCATACGGCAGTCACCGTATATTTCGTTAACTTCTCGTATAATGTGAATTTACAGGGTACAGAGGAATAACACCTGAGTCCTCAGGAATAGCAACTCATAGGGGGTATCATGGACGAAACAGTATACTCTGTTATGTCCATGGTACTGCTCATGTCTATAGGCGACGGTTACCACTCACCATCAGATGGGCCGTCAGCTTGTTTGCAATTCTAAGTTGTATAAAGAAAAAAAATAACGAACATTTAAATATCATATGGGGGTTTGATTATGTAGTTTGAAGACCTCACGTGATTTGCTTATAACAGCTGCTATTGGAATATTGCAGACATTCTAAAATCCACTTACCATCAGGCTGACCGTATGCCTATTACCAGTGTCATTAAAGAAAAAGTGTTTAATAAGACTACATTCCAAAAGTGCCGTATCCTAATCTTCTTGTATCTAATATAGATAACGCTTAATATCAATTGATTGAGTAAATAAAATGTTATCACTTATCGTCATTACGTTATTTAACAGTTATCATTTAATGACAGTAGGTACGTACCCTACGCACCTACCTCGTTGTTGCTACCGCCAAGCAACTAGCTGGCAACCAGATGCGATTTTTTATTTTTACCCAAACATCAAATATTTTTCACTCCGAAACAATACTATTTTCAGGACTTTACCCCCCTCTCTGGGAGAAAAGGGATTGTTAGTGATGGAGAATAGGAATCCCATTGCTAGCAATATACCCAACCAGGTCGACCTCCTCGCGTTTCCCCCTGGAAACTATCATGATTAATTTCTGATGTATTCATCATGATGGGCTAACTGGCCTGTTTTCATTCTCAATTATCACCCTTCACTGGTGCTCCGCCAGCGTATCCCATTAGCGCAGGCGGTACCATTCCATTATCACCCATCAAAAAAAAAATACCCCCTCTCTCTCTTTTACCCTCTGTGTCTTGTCATAGAAGGGTCATAATATTACAGGTTTTTCTGTCTGAAAAAGTCCGTCTTTCAATGATAATAATAACAAATAGCACGCATGCTATAAATTGTTTTGCTTAACAGTTATCACTTTGCAATGTTCAGTAAATATCAGTTTGACTTGTGACGCCACCGTTCGACCCCGGTGTATTGAAGCGGCATAATTAATTGATTAATTATACCATAACATTGTTACCATTTGACATTGTATATGTAATTATTTTTAACTGATAAAATACATATTATTAGATAAACATGTTTTCATTGCGACTTTGTCCCGATCTGACAGTTAAGTGAATGATGCTTATAGTGGGATAGTAAACACTGTGACGTCTATGGTAACTCTTCATGGCTGGGGGGAGAAGGTACTTTTCTTGATGGATGAAAATGGTATGGTACCACGCCTGCGCTAACGGGATACACTGGCGGAGCACCAGTGAAGGGTGATAGATGAGAATGAAAACAGGCCAGTTAGCCTATCATGATGAATTCATCAGGAATTAACCATGATAGTTTCCAGGGGGAACCGCGAGGAGGTCGACCTGTTTAGGTATATGGCTAGCAGGGGGGAGAAGGTACTGTTAGTAATGAGGATTAATAGCCCCATTGCTAGCAATATACCCTGCCAGGTCGATCTCCTCGTGGTTTCCACTGGAAACCATCGTGATTGATTTATTTACTGTCTGCTTCATCATCACCTCTCGTCCCTGGCTGGTGTCCCGCCAGTGTATACCAATACTGCAAGCGGGATTACCACTCCATTATTATCCATTAAAAAAACTCCTCATTGCTAGAGTGAGACAAAAGATTGTTAGTAACAAGAACTATTGTAACTAACGGCGTCATTTCTAGAAACAAAGGTGGACTTCTATATTGGTCTCCCTAGAAACCGTCGTGTTTAATTCTTGGTGAATGTATCACGATGAGACTAACTTTATACTCACTTATCATCATTCGCTGGTACTCCGCCAACCCATAACGACATCGCAGGCGGGGCCAAAAATCCATCCCATACAAAACAACATTTGTCGTTAGCGACATGTTAGCATGTCGCATAGAGGGAAAAGGGATTGTTAGTAATGGAGACTGAGAATCCTATTGCTAGCAATATACCCAACCAGGTCGACCTCCTCGCGGTTCACCCTGGAAACTATCATGGTTAATTCCTGATGAATTCATCATGATGAGCTAACTGGCCTGTTTTCATTCTCATCTATCACCCTTCACTGGTGCTCCGCCAGCGTATCCCGATAGCGCAGGCGGGGCTACCATACCATTTTCACCCATAAAAAAAAACATGTCGTATACTACTGTTTCCAGCTGAAGCTGCAGTTCGACGACTCGTTAACGCGCACGTTCGAGTACCCGTCGGAGACGTCGCTGTGCGAGGACTCGCCCGCCGACGAGCACGCGCCCGCTCCCGCCTCCGCGCCCGCGCCCGCCGCACACAAGCTGCCGCAGCAAGCGCAGCTCGCTGCCAACACGCATATAGGTAAATATTCACCGCTCTCTTCATCGGTCAACCGTTGCAACCAGATTTGGTCTTAACCTACCCCTGGGTACATTTTTATCGCCCTCTACAATGTAAGTTAAAGATAGGGGTGACAAAAAAGTTCCCCTTGTCACACAGTCCCTCTGTCAAAAATACTAACGTAGAATTTGATACGACCTTTTAGGCCAACTCCATACTCAATTTAATTTCTACATGTGAATTATATTTTATTTTATTTATTTATTGTTTATTAATCAATCTCGAACATTTACCACTGACCATACCGAAAGCGGAGCGAGAGCAGAAGGCCTACCATGAAGTGTTTTCCGAAATTTCGGAGCCAAACGAAACACAAATTTGATGTTAAAATTACATAATACATGCCGTTTGGAAATATTAAAAATGTTAAAATATTGTTTCTTCGGACTTTTATGATAGGATGTATGACGAACGAAATGTTAAACTCCATTTATTGATCCGATTTTAGTATAAACAAAAACACGAAATTGAGTCCGAAATTTCGGAATTTCATTTCGTGGTAGACTCGCAGCACTTTGATGTGGATCCATCCTTACTGGCTTTTAGAACAAAATAGAAATCATCATTATGGAAATAGATTGATTAAAAATTCTTTTGAATCGATAATTATTTATGACTACTGCTGTTGTGGGTTGTACCCCAGATATTCGTTGCCTGGTCTCTCATAACAAGGTATTTTAAATTGAGGAGCGAAAAATTGTAGTGATTGCGGGTCATCCTGTTTATCCCGTTTTCTAGTTGATATTATTGATCGAAAATTATATCTAATGTCTTTAATAACAAGGATCAAAATTAAAAGTACATTTGTGGTTGCAAGTGTACTGCCGGCGGCGCGTGGTGGCGAGGCCGGCGCCGCCGCCGCCCGCCAGCCCGGTGCCCGACGAGACCTTTGTGTGAACCGTGCCCCACCTCTCCCCGTTTTAGTTTTCAATCTCATATCACATTACTACGTATGCTCGCGGTACCTTTCACACCGAAAATTCTATGTGAATGGATCATTGTACCGCAGTAAAATGTATCCTAGTTGGTATCCCCTTCAAGTACCATCACTATCTGTCCAGTAGTATGTACCCGATGCCTACACGCACAGTGACGTTTTGTAGTTGTATTACACTATATGTATAGATGATATAAAATCTTAACCCATTTGCTAAGTACACCTGTCGTCGTCATATCAGACTTCAACTGTCCACTGCTGTACATAAGCCTTGGGGGGGTTTTGCCAGTAGTTGCCACGCTTGACAGGCCGGTTGGCAATGACAGTTAGACTTTCGGTGATGTTTTAACAGGGGCGCTGCCCATTCCACGAATACAAGTTGTCTTATAGTTCTTTTAGTTCCTGTAGTTCCAAATAAAAATTAAATCTTTTTTCAGTTACTAGTTGACACGACTCTTAGACGACTTTCTGTAAACCTATCTCTAAAATTATAATTCCAATTTGATATAACAATGAAATGTTTATAAGGACCAATGTGGACTAAATTTGTAATAGATCAAGCAGTGGACGGATAATGGCTGAAATGATGATGATATGACGATATTTCCTCATGTTTGTGGTGGCTAGTGTACCGTACAGTGCACATAGTGTAGTGTAGTGTAGTGTAGCGCTACATGTTGCCCGCAGCGTCGGCGTCCCTGGCGCGGTACACGCCCAGCAAGACGCTGGCCGCCGCCTTCCAGCTGGGCGTCACGCGCCGCGCCGCACACGGCCTCGCCAATGGTTGGTTTATTACTATAATTTTTTTTTTAATAATTACTGGCCCATTTAAAGGAAAATTATGAACGTAAGCGACTTTTTAAGGCAGCACCGTAACTATTACAAAAAATATTATGATCAATGCCAAAAAGCGATCTTTGCTTACGCGTTTTCATTTGAGTAAATTAAAATGTTGACTCCATATTTTGTAAATTGTAATTATTAATATATAGTTGCCGTGAAGATGAGTGACACTATGGGCGTTACGGAAAACATTATGACTCGTATGGTGACTCATTTACTACGCTGATATTTCTGAAAACCGTGTATCCAAGTTTTAAACCGAAGCACAGCTAGGCGATTGCAGCTCTGACAGGAGAAACACGAGAGGGACACGGGTGTCAGTGCAAAATACTTTTGTACAAATTGCTCTGGTAAACGACTAGTGGCCACAATAGAGTATCAGTGTTTTGCTCTCTTGGGGGCAAAGCAATAAACTGAGTTGTGACCATTTTGTGTTACTACAGTAACACACTCACGAGAAATTGTATTACCTCTTTTATGTACTCTTTTTGTTTTTTTTTTTTTATATGTTATGTTTTATTTCTTTAAACATGTAGATAGATAGATAAACACTTTATTTGAGCCATTTATGACACACGTAAATTAATAAATAAATTTATACAATCTAATTATTTACATTTTTTCAAATATAAAACAAAAGAGGAATATTGGAGATATGTTCTGTATCAGTAGCTTATGTTATTTGTATTTGTTGTAAGTGATGCAAATAAATTATATCTATTCTATCTATCGAGTGTAAACGAGCACGCTAAACTGTACAGATGCATCGTCAGGAGAGGCTAAGGTGACCAACGGAGCGGAGGCGGAGGCGGCGGCGGCGGCGGGCGACGCGCGGCCGTGCGGCGCGGACGCGGCTCGTTCGTGGAGCGACGCGCGCGCCGCCGCCACCGACCTGCTGTTCTAGCGACCTGCTGCGCACGCGCACGCGCCACCAGGTGAGCCGCCGTCGCCCTGCAAACTACGACGCTTTAAAATCATATCACAGTGTCTTAGTTTAGTACATCATATCGGCCTTTATCTGTCGGGGGAAAGGGATTTTTCATAATTTTATTTTTAATTTGTTTATTTATACATTACAAATAATTACAACATTATGACAGCAAAAGCCAAATCAATGTTATAAACCTAGTGTGCTAACATACAAAATTATAATAAAACTATTTAACCCGAATATCAATGATAATTTAATGAAGTCAAATAGTCCCATTACTAGCAATATATCCTGTTAGGTCGACCTCCACGTGGTTTCCCCTGGAAACCATCGTGGTTAATTCTAGTTGAATGCGTCAAGATGGGCTACCTGACCTGCTTTCATCCTCATCTGTCATCTGTCACTGGTGCCCCGCCAGCGTATACCGATAGCGCAAGCGGGGCTACCATACCATTATGAACTATTAAAAAAACTATCCAGTGCTAAACATAAGCTTCCCCCTTAGAAAGTTTTGCCAATTGTTATCACGCGAATATCACGTTATCGAAACTGTATACTCTGTTATGTCCATGGTACTGCTCATGTCTATAGGCGACGATAACCACTTTTCATCAGGTGGGCCGTCAGCTTGTTTGCCAATCTAAGTAGTATAAAAAAAATCACGCTTGACAGACGGATTGACAACCGCAGTTAGGCTTTGGAGATGTTTTAGAGGGACGCAAACCAAGCCTGCCAAGCGTGGTAACCACTGGCAAACCCTCCCTTATGCTGAACATAGGTCTCCTTCTATGTTTAGCAGTGGGCAGTGACAATCAGACATTCAGCAATGGCTAATATGATAATATGATGATCAAGACTGCATATTTTTTTTTGTACTCCTTTGTGGTGTGTCTAAGACTATTTTTATATCGATGTCAATGTTTAATACATACTTGAACAATGAATGTATGTGTTGCAGGTCTCGCCCTCTCCGCACCGCTGAAGCCGCAATTTTCAAGTGAAACTCTACATTTTCGAAAGCATTTACACGACCAGATGTATTTTTGATAGCCTGCCGTATTACCGTATGTATGTATGTATTAGGCCGGAGCGTACTTGTGAACCTGTTTAGATTACGGTAGTCGCTCCTCGTGCTCACTGCCATGTAAACGTATATTTAGACATGTTAAGTGCTGTAATGAAACAATGCTCAACTACTGTCCACTCACATCGGAACAGGGGTTTTCAAAGTGGCGGGGCCATTGACCCGCGCGCCCCGTTTGTCTGCGTACGCCCCAGATTGACATAACAGCAACGTAACTCTTATATTTGATCATGTGACCACGTAATATATTTTTATTACATCTATTATGAAATTGTTGACTGTAAAAGTCAATCGGATGGCTCTAAAATTAAGATAAAAACGTTTATATAATTTATTAGTGCAAATAAATTAATATATTTATATATTTTTAATTGACTGAGTATGTAATACTCGAAAATATTAATTGTGACGAGGAGGGCATGAAATGCTTTGTTTTAAGGCTTTTTTTTTATCAGGGGCCCGATAGGCTAAACTTTGAGAACCCTTGCATAGGAAGGGTGGAGTGGTCGGGAACGCGTTTCCCCCTGTATTGGATATATGTGGGACTGAGTGACGAACTCGACTGACTAGCAGGTAGGTAGCGGGTTAAGGTTTTGATACTTTTAATGACGATTTATATGGAATATTAATGCAAACTTGACAAATGTCGCGGCAGACACGCCACTGTGACTGGTGACTGCCACTATATACTGTAAACTCATTCCTATTGTATCATTCCTAGTTGTCTATGATATGTTACCGTTGAGATTGCACTAGGAAATAAAGAAGCTGAATGTTCAATGAAATTCAATGGTACTGCTCATGTGTATAGGCGACGGTTATCACTTTCCATCAGGTGGGCCGTCAGCTTGTTTGCCATTCTAAGTAGTATAAAAAAAAACGTGCAATTATTCGACAAATGTTTTTTTTTTTTAATGGATGATAATGAAATGATAACCCCGCCTGCGCTATCAGTATACGTTGACGGGGCACCAGTGAGGGGTGATAGGTGAGGGTGAAGCCGGTCAGTTAGCCCATCGTAACAAATTCGTCAATATATCAATGGTTTCCAGGAGGAACCGCGAGGAGGTCGACCTGACAGGGTATATTGCTAGTAATAGGGGTGCTAATCCCCATTACTAACAATCCCTTTTCCCCCTCGTCAAATGTTACAGTAGGTATCTATTGACATAATATTGTTTAAGTGGCCATTTGAAGCGTGCTGGACACAGCGGCCAACAATCAAAGACGTGGCCTTAACAGACTTTTTAAACCTTCTTTGCATAACGGTGGAAATTTCCATCATAACATTGAATGCCCAAAAATTATATAAAAGAACATGTTCACTTTAAGTAGATCGTGTTTGGATGTCTTTTTAATGTCCATTGTATAAAAAAAAAACATAGCTGTCAAATTTATTTTTTTAACCATTTTTCGTTTCATTTTGAACATGAATTATATCACCTTGATTTATTTCACCAATAAAAAAAATCATGCAAAGAAGCGTTAATAAATAATTACGTATACTGTGACGCCGATAGTCTCTTGTCGTGTACCGTCGCTCCCAAGCGGTGACAATTACTTAACAGCACTCCGCCACACAGCACACACTCAGTTGTAACTTCCTGGTGCAATCTTAACCGGAAAAGTCTGTAAAGGACAAAATGTCCGTTGATTTTGTCTACGAACAGAGTTGCCTTTATTGCTGACAATTTTATACATGTAAATATAAATGGTTAGCACTCCAGTAGGTATAAGAAAGTAGCGACCGATCGACGGAACTCGCGGGCGTAACATATACTGTAAGAATGGATAATATATAGTTACAATATCTATACATATATTGGCCCAATAACAGATATATTACATATCGGTTATCGAATATACATGGAGAAGAACCTATTTATAATGAATAATAGACTGTATTGTACAGTGCCAAGTTGAAATGTTTGCTCGGCGAATATACTAGTCCGCATACGTGTCGCCGCGTCCACATTACCGTATCAGCAGGTTGGTAGCAGAATGCAACATTCTGCACAAATACCACCACGCGGCGACACGTGTGTGTAGACGCTGCAGTTAAAGTTAAAATTTCAATTTGACATTACAGTGAAATAATTGTGTTAAAAAAACAGTATAAATTAAATTTTTTAATACAACTGTATCGGAACTTTTCTACAATCGATTGTCTATGGTCCACAGCGTAATAGTTTTGGTAAACAATTAAAAATGTAATTTTAGAGATAAGGTTTTAACAAAGGTATTCGTACCGCAGCATCGACCCCACTGTTTGTTAATTCGTCTGTCCATATTAAACAATATCCAATTTGAAACTGACCCACAATGCACGTTAGACTTTGTTAATAAGGACAGGCGAGTTGTGCCTTGCGTGCGTGCGTCCGGCGGCACTAGTGTCCGAGCCACGAACTGTCCGGTCCATCGCCTCACTACTAACTGTTTGTACTAACCCGACGCTCAGTTATTCCAAATGACATTAGAAATAAGTTATTAATATTAAAAAAAATACTCATTTTTATATATTAAGAAAAAATCAAGTTATATGCTTAAGCCCAGAAAAGAAGCAGGCACAAAATTATTGCAAGAATATGGGAATATACGGAGAATTAATATTTGACATAAAATTTGTTTACTTAAACTTGTACACCTATAAATTTGAAATATACAAGTACTGTCCCACAGTAACAACATGGCAGTTCTCTCACAGTACAAATTAAAATTTGCCTTTTTAACCCTTCTTTGTACAATGATAGAAATTTCCATCATAACATTTAATGCCCAAAAATTATATAAAAAAACCAATTCACTTTAAGTTGATCGTGTCTGGATATGTTTTTAATGTCCATTGCATAAATAAAAAAAAATCATAGCTGTCAAATTTTTTTTTTTAATAATTATTCCTTTAATTTTAAATATGAATTATATCACCTTGATTTATTTCACCAATAGAAAAAATCATGCAAAGAAAGGTTAAATACTGTTACATATATAGTTAAGTTAGTAAAAACTAATATTATTAATAATTACTTAAGTCCATGCAAGCTAGTACTCACTTGTTATAAGGTACTTTTTCAATTGAAGCAGGTACTGTGTGTGTGTACAAGTATAAATCGTGTCTGCTGTACCGTGCCGTGCCATACCGATGTCGTGCTGCGGTTAACTATATAAACTGCCATACACTCAATACAAGTTACAAACATTCCAATTGCAATTTGACACAATTTATACAGGAATTAGAATCATAAAATGGCTAATGTTTTTTGTTGCATTTACTCTTTTACTTCAGTAAATAATTATTTACTGAAAGTATGTATTTTTTTTTATGGGTGATAATAGAATGGTTACCTCGCCAGCGCTATCGGTATACGCTGGCGGGGCACCAGTGATAGATGACTGATGAAGATGAAAGCAGGTCAGTTAGCCCATCGTGACGAATTTCACAAGAATTAACCGCTATGGTTTCCAGGGGGGACCATGTGGAGGTCGACCTGATATATATAATTTTTAATTAACAATATTGAATGTATGAATGTTGCTAAAATTGATCGACCGGACAGTTCGCGGTGAGGGTGCCGCCGCGGGCAGACGCTAGCTTCATAACTTGCTGCGTTTTTTCTTATATTATGGAGCCAAAGCTTGAAGGGGTCGGCAGCCAGCCGCGGCGCTGGTTCGCATTTACTTTACACTAGGTTAGTTAACGTAGTTACAGTTAGTTACGGAGCTGATTCGTTCAGGCACGCTGTAAGAGTGTCATATTATAATATCGTTTGTATGTAACGCTGCACGCACACATACGGACAAACACCTAATTATTATTAGAGAGGAGTGCTATACGACATCCTCGAACACTGACGTATACAACATAGATTTTAATGCAACAACTGCCGGTTTAACATGGCTGTGTTTCAGTTTGTAAGGATGGGATATGGCGTTTACTGGGTACGGAGGAATAACATTTGACTCCTCAGGAATGGCAACGCATGGGGGGTATCATGGGCGAAACGGTATACTCTGTTATGTCCATGGTACTGCTCATGTCTAAGGCGACGGTTACCACTTTCCATCAGGCGGGCCGTCAGCTTGTTTGCCATTCTAAGTTGTATAAAAAAAAAACGTAATTTGGTCGAGAATTAATGGAACTTATAATAATAAAAATACCAATGTTTTTTTTTATTTATTTTCAAAGTATTTGCTGTATTGACATTTGCCAAAATAAATAGTTTAACTAAAATTGTTTGCCACGAACTATACATACGTTGTTATTATGACGAAATAGTTTTTTTTTCTACTTTTTATAAGATTTACGCCATAGACGGCGCATGTACTTGTGATATACTGTAATACGATGGTGTGGTGCGTGTGTGTGCGTGCCGCGACGGCCGCCCGGCCAACACTTGCCAATGCCTAGTTTGTATTGTACGTACTTATGCATATTTTGACATTATGTTAGTTTATTATTATTAGTATCCGATTTATAATTATTAAAATTAATTACCTGTTATTATTGTCATCGTGTGGTACGCGGGCTGCGAGTCGGACGCGCTGATCTCTCCGCTCAGAATTCACTTGTTATTTGCTCAATAAATATGTAATGACATACGATTTATATATTATATAAATTTATATATAATATTGTATGTATTGTTTGGAAATTATTAAAGATGGGAACAGCTTAGCGGCGGAGCGTAGCCGACGGCAGCCGGCGACGTGGCGCCGCCTCGCAGGGCTTAGTCATTGCGCTGCGTGATCACATAAACATAGCATTATGTAACCTAGTTGTATTGATGCTACAGTGGCAATAAAATATATTGAATCGTAACCAAATGAATATTTTTTATTTCATACCCACGAACGTCGTAGTTTTATTTTTACTTTATTAGAGTAATGTTTTATACAATTCCTGGAACATTATTAATATAGTAATAACAAGTGAAGTTTCACCAAAAAATGGTACATTAAATAAACGAGAGCTGATGATAAATATGGGGGGAAAAGTACATGATATAACAAAAAGAAAAATATAAGAATAACAATAAAAATAAGATATTTTTTATTAGAAGAAATTTGCAAAAATAATGTATTTATTAAAATAATTAATAACTACTTAATAATTAAAATTTTACCAGAGGGATACTTTGTACAAAAGTCGATTGCTTGGATACCTCTGTCCCATTCGTGTTTCAACCGTGAAGCAGTTGTGTTTGCATGGCTGTGTTTCGGTTTGAAGGGTGGGATATGGCGTGAATTTACAGGGTACAGCGAAATAGCATTGAGTCCTCAGGAATGGCAATGCATGGGCGAAACAATATACTCTGTTATGTCCATGGTCCACTTTCCATCAGGTGGACCATCAGCTTGTATGCCATTCTAAGTTGTATAAAATAAAAAAAAAATACTACCGGCCTGTCCCGGCTTCGCACGGGTGGACATTTTTATATTTTATAAAGTGGCCATTAAGGCTGCACACGCGACGGAAGCTTAAAAATGAAGTAACTTCTCCCGTTTTCCCAACATTTCCCTTCACTGCTCTGCTCCTATTGATCGTAGCGTGATGAAAAGTATACTGTAACCTGTCCAGGAGTATGAAGAATAATTGTACCAAGTTTCGTTAAAATCAGTCTAGTGGTTTTTGTTTCTATAACGAACATACAGACAGACACAAGCCTTTGCAGGGAGCTCATTTCACAGCATGAACGTTCGCAGTAACAAAAAATTTTCGAAACCTCACTGTACGCGACTACTTAGATTCAAGCATGTGTTGATGCATCTGGTAGTTTGTATTACTAACAAACCCTTCCTGCCAACAGGGTATATATTTTTTTTGATGGATGAAAATGGTATGGTAATGGTATGGTACGCCTGCGCTAACGGGATACGCTGACGGACCACCAGTGAAGGGTGATAGATGAGAATGAAAACAGGCCAGTTAGCCCATCATGATGAATTCATCAGGAATTGACCATGATAGTTTCCAGGGGGAACCGCGAGGAGGTCGACCTGGTTGGGTATATTGCTAGCAATGGGATTCTCGGTCTCCATAACTAACAATCCCCCCAACAGGGTATATTGTGAACAATAGCTAGTCCCCATTAGTAATTCATTAATAAAATAATAAATACCAGTAAAGGAAAGGGGTTGTTAGTAATGGAATGGAATGAATGTTAGCAATTAGATTGCTCCATTACTGGCAATACACCCTATCAGGTCGGCCTCCACGCGGTTCCCCATGGAGATCATCGTGGTTAATTCTAGTGGAATTCGTCAACTAAACTCTCAACTCTCACTGGTGGAGAGGGAAGTGATTGTTAGTAATGTGGACGACCAGTCCCATTGCTAGCAGTATACTCTGTCAGGTCGACATCCACGTGGTCCCCCTGGAAACCATCGTGCTGAATTCCGTGCTGTATTCATCACGATGGACTAACTGACCTGGGGGTCTACCATGAAATGAAATCCCGAATTTTCGGACTCAATTTCGTGTTTTTGTTCGTACCGAAATCGACCCTGTAAATGGTACGTATTATGTAAATTTTAGCATCAAATTTTTCATCCTCGGACCTATCAAAACTCACTGCTTTCATCGTCACCCTGCCGTATATACCGATAGAATATATTCCGTTAGTGCAGGCGTATACCGTTAAATCCATTCCATTATCAATAATTGAAAAATGCCTCACTGGTGCCCCGCTAGCGTATATCGATAGCGCAGACGGGGTTACCATTTCATTATCATTAAAAAAAAAAGTGCCTACAAAGTAAATTATTTTATCTGTCCACCTACATTTTCCTTGACCTTACATCGGTATAATATTAGCCCTAAATATGTAATAGGTTTAAATTAAAAAAATTACAGTTGTAGAACGCCTGCGCTCAGCCGCATTCAATGTAGGTCATTTTTCAGACATGCGCAGTCAGAAATAAAAAAAAATGTAAAGGTGTATTTCCATTAAAACGATATTTTTTTTATTCTGTAAGCAAATACGCGAAACATTTGCCTCCTTCTTCTTCGTCCTTTTAATTTTTTATTCACGGTTTATATCACTCGAGGATTAAAACTGCAAGTCATCAATTAAATATAGGCACCTTAACTGACTATTAACTATTTTTTTTTATACTACTTAGAATGGCAAACAAGCTGTCGGCCCACCTGATGGAAAGTGGTAACCGTCGCCTATAGACATGAGGAGTACCATGGACATAACAGAGCATTCTGTTTCATTCATGATACCCCCCATGCGTTGCCATTCCTGAGGACTCAGGTGTTATTCCTCTGTACCCAGTAAATTCACGCCATATTATATATTCAAACTGAAACACAACCATGCAAACACAACTGCGAATGGGACAGGGTCCCAAGCAATTGACTTTTGTACAAAGTCTCCCTCTGGTAACTAAAAACATTGTTAAGATTTCATAAAGAAAATTTCTAATATCGAAAAATAGATAAATACTCTTTATTGTTTCCTCCGAATGATTACAATAGTAAACTTATCCTAGATATGAACAATTACAAGAAATAATCACAATGAGAAAACAATGGGCGACCTTATACAAACGGTACAACATGGAAGATTATTATTATTTGGTCATTAAAATATAAATAATGAAAATTAGTAGCCCCATTACTAGCAATACACCCTGTCCGGTCGACCTCCTCGGGGTTCCCCCTGGAAACCATCGTCTTCTATTCTAAGTGAATTAATCACGATGAGCTAACTGACCTGCCTTTTCATTCTCATCTATCCTTACTGGTGCCACGCCAGTATACACCGTTAGCGTAGGTGGAGTTACCATTCCATTATCATCCATTAAAAAAAAAAAACGATAGAACACGCATAGTGAGGTAAAATCTCTTCTAAGCGTTCGATACCGCTTTTAAGCCTGAGATCACCGAAAATTCTCATAGCTCGTCGTTGTACTGAGTCAAAGGAATAGTTTAAGCTGGTATATATGTAGATGCTCAAGCTCTAAGTAACAGCAATACTCCATGTGGGTCGTTAAAAAAATATAATAAACTAGGATATCTAGCTTTGCCGTATAATTTTCTTGAATGAACCCTATACCCGGTAACATAGGAGTGACAATTTTCAGTAAAAAAGGAAAATCACACTGAAAATGACACATACCTACTTTGGGCGAGAAGGGAGCCCAGAAACGGAAATAAATATATACTATAAAAAGAAACTTAGAAGAATTGTGAAGGGGAGCCAAAGGAAACAATAGAAAGATGTGTCAATGTCGAGTTTATTAAATAATAACATAAAAACTACAAATAATATATTTAGTCTATACGCGACACCTATCTATTGTATTATTTCCGTATCGATCTTTAAATCGATAAATTTTAAAAAATCCATATATTCGATATTTAATTATATCGAATCAGCTCTAAAGGCCAATAAACTACTTTTGCGTTGATTAAACTGTAAAATAATTTACATCGTCTCCGTCAATTCTCACCAATTTAATTCAATCAGTTCAAGTTTGATTTTAAAGTAATAATAATAAAAAATTTATGTGCATTAAATAGGGTAGGTATCGGTGGTCTCATATTACATAAAGTTTCGTGCCTATTTAGCCATTATAGAATAGCATGCAAATGTCCCATTTTGATAGGAACTGATTAATTTATGCATCGATAACTATATTAGATATTTTTCTCAAACATGCTTGGAAATGTGAGCATTATTTTGACAATCTTCTTCGAGATAAATCAAACTTGCCGTACTGGCCAGATAAATTACTATGTAAACTCATATCTGTCCTGTAATTTAAAAATGAAATAACCTTTTACTTTGAAACATGGCTACCAAGGAGGTAACTAATAAAAAGTTTTATTTAAATTTCGAACTGGCTTGCAAATAGAAAGCTGTTTATTGAAAAAAAAAAACAAAGGAACATTATGGCGCGTAAACAATTATTAATGTTTGTTATTCGTCATTGAACTTAAAAAGTAAAGTTGTGTTTTTGATTTCCGCGCATTGTTTGAGAAAAGTACTATACAAGCCTTGGCCACAACTAGACATTGACGGACTCACGTATGTGTGCCTCGGCTACGCCTCGGCCTACATTTGTACGTTCGTCCATCAATGCCTCAGTTGCTGGCCGCTACAGTAATGTACTATATCTATTCTTTCTTGAAAAATTCATCAACAGAGTAAAAGCTTTTGCTAAGTAACCATTTACGTATTTATTTAATAGAAGTTCCTTTATATCCGTAGGTATATTGTTAAAGATTTTTATGCACATCATATAAGAATTTCTTAATAAACGGCTGGTTTTAGGAATTATATTAGTCACTAGTTTTTTAGGGTATCTTGCGGTTCTTTGTATTTGCTCTTTTGATCTGCAAACATGTGCTTATTTAATTTAGTTGAGTTTATTTGTAAATAAAATATGCCTGTAGAAAGAACAATTACCGTAAAGAAAACACAACCCACTGAATACCTTTGATTACCCCATTTGAACTGTTTATCACAGAATTATTATGACAGCATGTAGTACTCTTATTATAAGCTGTTACAGAAAATTTAATTTTTAGAGCCAAAAATTATTTGAAAATTTTCCAAACAAAATATGAAGTAGGTGCAAAATATTTCGTGATCATTTATAGACAACTTATTATTATTGTCGATATTGTTGTTGAAAATTCACAAACAATTGCAAAGTACCGAGACTTCAAATTACATTCTATTCGAAGTTTCATCAGCGAAATAAGTATTACTCGTACTCACAGATGTAGACAATTGTTATAAAGATAAGGCGTTCTAACCTAATTAGTGCCTAATTTAATACGTTTTAACATTAAAGACGAAATTAGAAAAGTTGCTTCCAATTGAAATCGCTGTAGGGAAACTGCATCTTAAAATGTCTATGGTTAATTTGGATGAAAGAGGCGATCAAATGACGAAGTGACAGACGTCAGCTGAGCCGAGTCGCATAGGTATAGTCAATCTAGCTCTACTTTAGAAAAAAACATCCTAATACTAGTATATAGATCTAAGTAAAATTATATCAAAAACAAAGAAATTTTTGCGTAGTTCGTTCGCGTTCGTGACTCGAAATAGCAATAGATCTATTATGTGCTAAATAGTGGAACGTAAACGCTACCAAATAATTTAAATTTCAAAAAACATTACAACGCCTTTTCGTTTCGATTCGACAGAAAATGTGAACAAGTGTGAAGGTCATCATTCGTCACTTTGTTGCCAATTATTATTAATACTAAGCCGTCGTTTAAACTGCGTCTCGCTCGCTCTAGCGGGTGACGTCGAGAGGATTCGCCGTTTACGTAACACTGTAACACGGTTCCTAAACAGCTGTTCATTTCAACAGCTAAAACGAAAAGAGTCGAGTTCGTCTTAATAAAATTCATCAAGCGACCGGCAACATGCTGAATGCATGCACCAAGTCGTTGCGCAATGCGCGCTCGCTCGAGCGCTGTATGTCCAGCGTGGTGGAGCTGCCCAAATTCCAAGATAGCGGCGTCAAGAATGAGCCTGTTCTGGCTTATAAGAAAGGCAGCAAGGAGCGGACCGAGCTCGCCAACGAGCTACAGCGCGCCGCCGCCGTAACCGAGGAGGTGCCCATCGTGATCGGCGACGAGACCATCAGGGATGGTGAGCCGCGTTTTCAGGTGATGCCACACGATCATGCGCGTAAAATCGCCAAGTTCTACTATGCAAGTGAAAACACCATAAAGAAAGCCATTGATGTGTCTGTAGAAGCACAAAAACGTTGGGATAAAACACCATTTGAACAAAGGGTGCAAATTTGGAACAAAGCCGCCGACATGATGGCGGGAGCTTATCGCCAGGCTCTCAATGCTGCTACTATGCTGGGCCAGTCCAAGTCAGTCATACAAGCAGAGATTGACTCAGCTGCGGAACTCATTGATTTTTACCGATTCAATATATTCTTTTTGAAAGAAAATAGCAAGTATCAACCAATCTCTGAGGACCCATCAGTGACCCGTAATTCCCTAAGATTCCGTGGAATAGATGGCTTCATTGCAGCTATAAGTCCATTCAACTTCACTGCTATTGGAGGCAACTTGGCCTACACACCTGCCCTTATGGGAAATGGAGTGCTGTGGAAACCATCAGACACTGCAGTGCTGTCCAACTGGCGAATCTTCAATATTATGAGAGAAGCAGGCCTTCCTGCCGGAGTAGTAAATTTTGTTCCAGCAGACGGACCCACTTTCGGGCGCACCATCACAGCTTCCCCTCACCTTGCTGGAATCAACTTCACAGGCTCAGTTCCCACTTTCAACTGGTTATGGAATGAAGTGGGCAAGAACCTACAAGTGTACCGTAACTATCCAAGATTAATTGGTGAATGTGGAGGTAAGAACTACCACTTTGTACATCCATCGGCAGATGTGGAGTCAGTCGTGGCTGGAACTATTCGATCAGCATTTGAATACTGCGGACAGAAATGCTCTGCTTGCTCCAGGATGTATGTGCCTAGATCTCTGTATGAACAGATCAAGGAAGGATTGTTGAGAGAGAGGGCAAAACTTAAAGTTGGTGACCCGACAGACTTCAGCATTTTCACAGGTGCTGTAATTGATGATAAAGCTTTTGCTAGAATAACAGGATATATCAAGAATGCGAAAAATAACCCCAAAAATAAAATCATTGGGGGTGGCGAATTTGATGACAGTAAAGGCTATTTTGTCCAACCTACCATCATAGAGACAACTGATCCCCTTGACAAACTTATGACAGAAGAGATATTCGGCCCTGTACTCACTATCTATGTGTATGAAGATAAAGATCTGCAGCAGACAGTGTCACTAGTGGGCTCCTCTACCAAGTTTGCCCTGACTGGAGCTGTATTTTCAACAGACAAAGCTTTCCTTAAAACGGCACTAGAAGAGCTGAAAATGACTGCAGGCAACTTTTACCTCAATGACAAGTCAACAGGATCTGTCGTAGGCCAGCAACCATTTGGAGGTGGCCGCATGTCTGGAACCAACGACAAGGCGGGTGGCCCTATCTACGTTATGCGGTGGACCACACCCCAGTCCATCAAGGAGACCTTTGTTCCGCTCCGTGACATAGACTACCCCTACATGAGAGAGTAATTACCAAATTAACTGGAATGGGTGATAAACTATGATCATATCTGTCTCTCCAATTCCATGCTGGCTAATGGAAACATCACTTCATAAATTTATGAGTACAATAATAGTTAATTAGTGAATAATGTAATGATAAGTTATTATAAATTATTATAATACTTGCTTGTCTGTCTAGGATGTGTTATGTTAACGTAGTGAGAGGTGACGGTAGTCAGTGTAGGAGCAGTCTATATAATTGTATGTAGCATTGTTTGCTTACAATAATTCACTGTACTTTATAGTAGGTGTCCAAATGTTAACTATTTCAGTTAGTGAAATAAGCTATCAACATTTAGACATTATGTATGTGTACAGAATATAACAATAGGTATTGTACCTACAGCATGATTATCTAACTTGTTTTGTCGAGTATTTTTGCAATGAACTATAATATTAACACAAAATTTATACATATTTCCTAAGAATATCGTAGCACTGACTACTTTTGTGTGTACTGCAGTTGAAATTTTAACAATAATATTATGTGACATAAAAATTAGTGGTATAAATTAAAGTTCTTACCCACACTACTGGATTGAAGTGATGTGGATACGTAGAGAGTTAATATTAATCATAACAGTTTAGCTGGCGGTGCAGCGGCTTCACTAGCGGTTTATTGTGGTTTAATTGTATATATTGTATTCAGTTATGTTTACGTAAGCGAGTCCGTGCTACGTGCTGCTCCAGGCCACGGGTCGCGGCTCGCGCCGAGCCAATCGGACTGTCCCCGTCAAACCGTTGCCTATTTGCTTTCCTCTTATCATTAAAACACGCATTCATATCTAACTCGAGTACGTTTATCTATTTATAGTTCGGTTATCGCCCTGCTCTCTGATTTAATTGACTGCATTTATGCTTTTATATACTTATATACATTAGAATATTGGACATTAGAGATACCTAATATGGCATATAATTACTTGAACTAAACATTCTACCGCTTTATAACAGTGAAGGTAAACAAATTGGTCGATTCATTTGCAACCTTTGACATTATACAGATGTTACAGTCCAAAAAAACAAACATGATTTAAATAATATGACATTATTTGAATGTTATCGCCGCCTGTATAAAGAATTTATTTTCGTATTCCGAGTTTTGCAAGTCATCGGGGAAAGTTCTTTATAATACGCTAGATTTCTGATTGACATCCTTTAGTTACATACATAAATGAGTACATGCATAGCTAGACGTTGGCAGCGTCCGTCTCCCGTGTTAAATGTTCTTGGATAGTCATTATTTTATTATTCTGCTTTTTATCATATATTATACATTGTTATTAACCACTTTTTATGTTTTACTAATTTATTATGTTCCTTTTTACTATATTATTGTTAATGATATTTTATAGTATTACTGTAAAGATTTAAATAAAACATTTCAGCAGTCTGTTTAGTGTGCAATGGATTCCTCCCCTCCTCTCCTCCATATATTACGTACATATTTTGGGAACAATAATTAAGCGTTCGGATTTTCTTGGTTCGAGCCTGTAGCCTATCTATTCTCTTGATACTCTTGACATGATAATGATTGGTAATCATGTAAAATTGCTGTACTAATTTTGTTGAACTTAAGTGTATGCTTTAATTAACAATTCGGTACAGACCAAGCTCAGATTACAATCTCTAATCTAAGGGTTTACAATTCAACACTGAACATAAATGAGGTTTTAAAATTGAGTTTAACAAAAACTTCTTGGCAGTTATTCAAAGCGGCGCAGTTGAAAATACAATAGTAAATAGGTATGGTAGACTAGATTATGACACGGGCCGCCCACACGAGATGCAATCACGAGATTCGTGCCTCGTGAACATTCCAAATGTTTAGCATATTATTACCTATTGCACTTCATCAATAAGAATTGAATAAATATACGCGCCTGATATATAAAATTAGTTGTAGTTTGCAAACACTCGTGTTTCTGCCGCCTAGTTGAATAAACAGCTGTTTCGGTTTAAAGATTGGGATACAGAGGGGGACCTACCATGAAGTATTTTCCGAAATTTCGGGCACGAACGTTTTAACACAAACAAAAATTTGATGTTAAAATTATATAATACATGCTATTTAAAATTATTAAAAATGTTAAAATATCGTTCCTCTGGACTATTACTGGATAGGATTTATGATAAACGAAATATTAAGCTCCATTTACTGGCTCGATTTTGATACGAACAAAAACACGAAATTGAGCGCGAAATTTCAGAATTTCATTTCATGGTAGACCACCAGCAGTAAATTTACGGGTTACACCTATCGTCAATAATGGTAAATGGGGATTAAATCAAGCCAGTTTACCCAGCATGAATTTATCACGATTCTAGAGGGAACTGCGTAGAGGTTGATAGGTTCTATCAAAACAATCTTACTGCACACTGTATGTCAGTGGGCACGCAGTGTGCTAGGTCATACCGGTCAAATGACGCGCAGCCGTAACTTAAGAATTTGAACTAATATATTTAATACTGCGAGAAAATGCAGCAGCTCCAACCATGCGACCGCTAAATACAAACTTCTTCATGTACGGGAGTTATGAAATGAAATATTTATTTGCTTTTAACAGACATTTAACATAATTAAGGCCACGTGACAGCACTTTTTGGCATGTTAAATTGACTTCAAAATGTACTATGCAAATTTAATGTAGGTATTAATTAAAAATTAATAAGTATGCGTGAAGCAAACTCGCGCAGTTACAACCACCTGCCCTAAGCGCAAACTAAATAAATAGAGTTTAAAGATTATATTTATTTATTTATGCTGTTGGTGTTCCTTAAATAAATAAATAAATAGAGTTTAAAGATTATATCAATTAAAGTGAAAGTACTATAAGTAAAGGGTATAGTAATTACTATATCCATTGGGGGGAAAGGGATTGTTAGTAATGGAGACTGAGAATCCCATTGCCAGCATTATACCCAACCAGGTCGACCTCCTCGCGGTTCTCCCTAGAAATTATCATGGTTAATTCCTGATGAATTCATCATGATGGGCTAACTGGCCTGTTTTCATTCTCATCTATCACCCTTCACTGGTGCTCCGCCAGCGTATCCCGTTAGCGCAGGCGAGGTTACCATACCATTTTCACCCATCAAAAAACAATACTATATCCAGGGGAAGGGATTGTTAGTAATGGGGTCTTAACAGCCCCATTGCTAGCAATATACCCTATCAGGTCGACCTCCACGCGTTTCCCCCTGAAAACAATCATGGTTAATTCTTATGGAGTTCATCACGATGGGCTAACTGACTTGTTTTCATCATCACCTATCCTCTATCACTGGTGCCCCGCCAATGTATGGTATACCAACAGCGTAGGAAGGGTTACCATTCCATTCTCGTTCATGAAAGAAACATTACTATATCCTTCTATAGTGCAGAGAGACATAAATGATAAGAGTTCCTTAGTCGTGCCGTGCATGCCAAGCATTATCGTCACGTGGCGTCACACTTGTTGACCATATTTTGTAGACGAATGCATGTATATCTAGTCCAAATGACAGATGTTGATAGATTTGTTTACATTAGTGTCTCAGGTATTCCTAATCTGTTGGGAGCAATGTTGTTGTTTGTATTTGTGGGATACGGGTAATTATCTATTGCAAAAACTGTTATATACACAGAAGTTTACTAACAAGATGTTTTGTATGATGCTTAGAATGGCAAACAAACGACCCAACTCATCGTAAGTGATAATATAAACATCACAGAATAGAATCGAATAACTCTGCACACCTATAGGTTGACTGGTAGAGATTTTTTTATTTTTTTAATGGGTGATAATGAAATGGTAACCCCACCCGCGCTATCGGAATACACCGGCGGGTCACCAGTGAAGATGATAGGTGAGGATGAAGCAGGTCAGGTAGCCCATCGTGACGAATTCAACAAGAATTGTTCACGATGGTTTCCAGGGGGAACCGTGGAGGTCGACCTATTAGGGCATATTGCTGGCAATGGGGCTGTCGAACTCCATTGCCAACAATCCCTTCCCCCCACTGGTAGAGATTGTCTATAGCATTAAGTCCGCCTTTTGTACATATATTTATTTATTTAAATTTTATTGACCAATAGGTTAAAAAAATATACTGTGATGCCCATGGTACTTCTCTTGCATGACCATTCATGAGGACGACGGTGTTGTGCTTTCAAACCAAAACACAACCATGCAAGTACAGCAAAAACACGAGTGGGAATGTTTGGAAAACTATAATAACAAAAACATTTTTGCCAGAAACATAGATAATATGATGTTACAGTTTGTTTTTTAACGTTCAGTATGTTTCGCCATATTTAATAGCATGCAAACGTTTTTAAGTAGTATCCATTAAACACAATGAATCCGTTACATTAAAATTTTAATATAATTAACATTGATTAACTATCTAAAATCAAATTATTTCAAATTAATATTTATACAAATACTTGTGTCAATATATTTAAATCTAGAACAAGTTCAATTTTAAAATCCCAAATTACAATAAATGGTATACAATATAGCTGAATTGTTTATACATTTACATACATACATTTCATTGTTTTAAAAAGTCATTTATTGAATAAAAATTGTCTTGCGTGTAACCATTTTTTTAACCGTAATTTAAAGTGACTTACTGGCAGTTCCCATAATTATTTTGATATTTAATTATATATTCTAATGGTCATTATATCACAATTTTGTTGATGCAATGTGGTCCTGCCGATAGGCAATTTCGACCTTCAACCAAACTACGCAATAGTATAATAATAATAAGATAAATATAAGAAAGCCGAAACTGAGAAAAAGAGAAAACATCTCGACCTGGCTCACGAAGTGACCGAAATGTGGGGGATGGCATCCACCGAAATCATTCTAATTGTCATGTCGGTAAACGGTCTTATCCCAACCAGTCTGGAACAACATCTCAGACGGTTGGGATTCCGTGGCGGCTCACTCCCGGGAAAGATGCAGAAAGCGGTGCTCTTAGATTCTGCCCGCATTGTACGCCGGTTTCTCTCCCTGAGGCCCTGAACCCCGGCCGACTGTGCTTTTGCTGGGGGTTAGTTTGCCATCTCCTCTCCTTAAGAGGGAAAATGTGAATTTTCTAAAAGATAAATATAATATCCGAAGAGATAAATAAGTCTAGAACAACACAGACGGTTGGGATTCCAGGGGGAAAGTTGCAGAAAGCGGGATATAGATTTTGATAGTATAGATACGCCGGTTTTCTTGGGGCCTCCAAAAGAACAATGTAAACTTATTTAAATATAAATAATTACAATAATTTCAAAAAAATAGATGATAATGAAATGAAAAACCCACCTGCGCTAACGATATATGCTGGCGGGACACCAGTGAGGGATGATAGATATGAGAATGAAAAGGCAGGTATTTTATATGACAGGGTGTATTGCTAGCAATGGGAAAACTAGACTCCCTCCCCCATCACTTGTTTTACGACAATATATAGAACATAAACATACGTTCTGAGCGTGGTTAAACGGAACCGCCAAAATTTCTCTACCGCCTAAATAGACTATAAAAAGGCGTTCGATTCCGTGCCCCATTCATAGTTCCTGAGGATACTTGAACTATACAAGATTGATGATACAACTCGAGTGCTACTGGAAGCATATATAGGGCAATAGATGACGATTCTTACTATCCAGGGCGAATGACTAACGAATGCTGCAGACCGGATTGAGATTAAGAGGAAAATATTCTAGGATGATTATTTGAGACCACATTGGTTTTGCCTGTCTCCGAATCCTCTCAGTATTTTACTGGAGAATTCGGTGACTGGATTTTAGTATCGGGGAGTAGTTACACGTTATCGGCTCTCTCATATTTCACGTTCTATACATGGATGACTTGAAACTGCTGGCTCCCGAAAGTTCGAACGCCTGACAGAACTGCTAAAAATCATAAAAGCTTATAGTAGACCTGTTAGGATGGAGCTCGGAATAGACAAGTTGTTCGCGACATTATTGTATATATAGTGATATTTATAGCAATGTTATAGTTAGTTGTTAAGTTTCTAGTTTGATCGTTTTTTGTATTCTGTTGTTTTGTATAGATTTACATAGATTTAAGATAGTGTAAGTTAAATAAAGTATTCCTTTGCGTGTTGTCATTATTACCTACGCAATAGAAATTGTAACAAAAAAATAGAATTAAGAGATTGTAAATTTCAATAAATAAATAGACGCTATAGAGTACCGATCTGAAGAGACACGCGTCTCGCTCATTTCTCGCCCCGTCCCGCTCGCGCAGATTCGCTAACGCGAGTTGGAAACGTTATCATGCGAGCGGGCGGGTATAAAGATAGGCCGCCTCCCGTCGAGCGGCATTCGCTTCCGGGCAGCGACACACTACACTCGAGAAGAAATAGGACAAAAAGAAAAATACT